TTGCAGCTTATCAGCCATAGCAAATGTTTTAATGACTCGCTCGGTGGCAGCAAACTGTGTCACTGCATAACCTCTCTGACCTCAGACACAGAATACATTAGAAAACAAGTGTTGAACAGGAGAGGCAATCTTCCCCAGACCGATTCTTTGGATCCAAATGCTGTTGGTGGAAAAGAGAGGATATATTGATATTCCATGTTTGATCCTTGATTGAACACCTTCCCTAACAGTTAAAGAACTGAGCTTCTCTTTAGTCTTTTTGGTTTTTTAAAAAGTGGGCTGCATAACTGAGTTTCCAAGAATTAGTGGGTGGGACAGAAAAGCACTCGACATGGGTACAGGGTGGCGGTGGGATTCACATAACTGATTGACGGTAGGTTAAGGACAGACAAAAGGAAATGCTTCTGTAGACAATTAGGAATATGGGACTTTGATAATGGGCTGGAAAAAGACACGTCTCCCGAGACAGACAGATACCAACAAAAACTGTTTTGGTGTGTTTTATGGGCGAATGTTTATACAGTATATGTTAAAGAGATCGCTGATTATTACTTTTTCAGTATTATGTTGCTGTGATATTATATGGCATTGTGGTGCTATTTTCGTAGTTGGGTTTAGATATTTAAGCGCAGATTTGTTTGTGGACAATGTGGCTTATAAATAAAATGGCAATGGCAACGATATAAGCTGGAATCCAACAGCATCTGGAAGGAATGGGTTATCCAGAAAGATGGCAGGACCAGCAGTCCACAGGCCAACCTTTTGCTAGCTTCACTCATTTTTTGTGTGTGCTCCAGAATGGAACATCTTGATGAAGGGAGAGAGATTGACTGATCCAAGCACCTACTTTAAAAGGCTCCAGCGTGGGAAGCCTACCAAGAGTTTGCCATCTTAAGGCAGTGTTGGAGATGCAGTCTCCATGCAGCTGTTGGAAAGAAGTGACTTGGAGCAACGCTGACAAACTGCTTCTGAGTGACACAAGCTGCTCTCTCTTGCCAAGGCGAGGCAGGCTTCAGATTGCTGGGCCTGCTTCTACTCAGGATGCCCTTTTATTGCCCGATAAGCATTTGCGCTGCCTCATTCCTTTCATTCTAACGCCAGCTTACCCGTTTGTCGTGAATGAGCTCTTGACAATTCCATCCATCAAGAGGTCCCGGGCCAAAGCACATTGAGAAACGTTCCCCTTGACTGCTCTAGGGTAGTGAAACTCCCTTTCCTCAAGTACTCACCGAAGCCCAACAAAGCAATCAAAATACTTTTTTTAATAAAAAAGTGGATTGGTATTTAAGAGATGGGGTTAAGTATACAGACACTTTTCTATTAATACTGTTATAGATGGGGGGGAACCCCCTAAGCCCTAGAAAGTAATAAATGGTAGGATTTTGATTACAGTGGTACCTCTGCTTAAGAACTTAATTCGTTCCAGAGGTCCGTTCTTAACCTGAAACTGTTCTTAACCTGAAGCACGACTCTAGCTAATGGGGCCTCCCACTGCTGCCACCGCACGATTTCTGTTCTCATCCTGAAGCAAAGTTCTTAACCAGAGGTACTATTTCTGGGTTAGCGGAGTCTGTAACCTGAAGAGTCTGTAACCGGAAGCGTCTGTAACCTGAGGTACCACTGTATGTGGGATGTGAAGGGAGAAATACAAGCTGTGGAGAAATTCCAACCTGGCCAAGCTAGGGCTATTAAGAAACGATACAAGGCCATTGAGAGCCATTGGAAACACAGTGGTACCTTGGCTTAAGAACTTAATTCGTTCTGGAGATCCGTTCTTAACCTGAAACTGTTCTTAACCTGAGGTACTTTAGCTTATGGGGCCTCCCGCTGCCACACAATTTCTGTTCTCATCCTGAAGCAAAGTTCTGAATCCGAGGTACTATTTCTGGGTTAGCGGAGTCTGTAACCTGAAGTATCTATAACCCGAGGTACCACTGTACAAGAGAACTGTCCTCCCCCCTTGTCCTGGGATGTGAACAGAGACCCCCGGGGTGTGTGTGGAAGGTTGCCAGGGTAACTGGGTGTGAGGTGACATGGAGAGTTTTGAGCAAGGGTTTCTGGGTAGAAGAAAGGAAGAGAAAAAAGACTGGGATCCATCTTGGGCAGGCTGGCTGCAGGCTGGCTGAGAGACATGCCTTGGGCTGCACTGCTGTGGGGAACAAGCCCCTCTTGAAATGACCATGCTGTAGGATGTGGACTCCTTCCAGATGTTGCTGAACTACAACTTCGATCAGTCCCAGCTACCATGACTGATGTCCGAGGATGATGGGAGCTGTAGTTCAGCAACAGCTGCAGGGCCAAAGGTTCCCCAAGCCTGATGTAAAGAGATTTAACACCCACCCACCATACCAAGTCCAGAATCTGAAACTACTGAAGTGAACCCATTGGCACCTCTCGCAAATTAGGAAACAGACCCAGGACTTCAAATGCCCCACAAGAGACACAATCATGCATCCTTCGAGGCAGAGTAATTTTGCCATTATCTCAGCATTTGGGCACTGGGATGTGTGTGTACTCAGGGCAAAGCCCATGCCCAGTTTTAGGTCAGATGAAACAGTGCGACTTGGCTTGGGAAGGCAAGGATTTAACCAGACAAAAAGAAACCAGTCATGTCATTAAAAGCCTATTGAGAATGATGGATTAGTGGAAATCCTGTGTGATGAGCCGTTGCTTGAAATAAATAGCTCTGGTTCGGTTGCTTGCCTGTCGTGGATAAAATGAAAAGAGGCGAAATGATAAAGACTGCAAAATGGAGGTGGTTAAAATGCCATCCTCCAGCAGAACTACCTGCTTTATGGAAGGTGAGGGCCCCTTCAACCTTTGATGCCCCTGTCATGTGCACTTGAAGAAAAAGATGGCAGTGTGTAACATGGTGACGTTGGGTTGGTGTTTTCCCATGTCTACAAGAAACACCCAACGAAGCAGAACAAGGTATAGGAAAATGCTAACATAATGCCTTCACATCACACGTTTGCTCCCAGCTACACATTACGAGGGAGATGCAGGGAAATTGCAATCACGTGTCTGTCACTTGCAGTATAGACCTCAGAAAAACACTATCCTCTGTCCACAGTTCTTATATCCAAGTATAATCCTCAAAAATTAAACAACGGTGAGGGTTGAAAGACAGAAGAGGACTCTACCAACCTGGAAAGAGCACAGCAATCTGGCCCAGCTGTAACTCATGGATGTAAGAGCCCTGCTGGAGCAAAGGTCCATGTAAACCAGCATCCTGTTTCTGAATGGCCTCAGGAAGCCCACTAAACAGGCCATGAAAGACAGAAGCTCACCCACATCCCTTGGCCTCTAGCCAACGGGACACTTGGAAATTCCATCAGCTCTCACGTTCTTAATAGCCAATGGTAGACCTCTCTTTTAAAAAACAGATAATGACTATCAAAAAGCATTATGCTGCGAATACATATACTTGTTTTAGCAAATGGTTATGAACTTAAAACTACCTTAGCTTTTTTATAATATTCCCAGGAGAGGGTATCCTACGTGCTGCATTTTGTACTTTTATTATTCCAGCACAGGATATATAATCTCCATCTCGCAACGAATCGATTACCTCGTAACCTTCCTCCTCTCACTCTGACAATATTATTATTTATTTCTTTCATTAAAAAGTTATAGTTCACTAGATTGTATTTTTTTAAAAAAAAAACAACAACAACCCAACAACCTCAAAGCTGTTGACAAAAAGGTAAGTTTACAGCCCGTATCCCATATTTTCAGGAACCAGTTAATCCAAAGGAGGAGTGTTGACCTTTTTCCATTTAAAATGTAAGGCTAAACATGCAGCTGTCGATACATGAATCCTTGTCCCAGTATTCTGATACTAGATTATAGCATGGCAAAGCGGTTACTATAATACAGCAACATTACTTCAGCGTCCAATAGTAGTGTATGACGTCTTATATTTTCAGTTTCGTTTACGACAGAAATCTAATGCATTATTTTACATTCTCACATCTGACGAAGTGGGCTCTAGTTCATGAAAGCTTATGCCATAATACATTTGTTCGTCTTTTTAAAAAGTGCCGCAAGACTCTCTGTTGTTTTTATTTTAGGCCATGACCAAAAGGTGTGCAACACATCTGCCCTAGGAAAGATTACAGCTCCAACAAGCCCTGAATACATTTTATTAAGCAGAAGTGGGGCTAGATACTATCGGAACAAGTTTTTGCAAAAAAAACCCCACCTTTCCTGAAGTTCATACCAAGAACCTGATATGGTTCCATGCTTCCAAACCCAACACCATGTATCAAATGACAACTAATTAATTAAACTGCATTCCCACTTCTGTTGATTTCTAGATGTAACCCACTAGCCAGCTAAGTTATATAATTTATTTAAAATCCTCTTAGCTTGCAAGTTAAAGGTAAAGGGACCCCTGACCATTAGGTCCAGTCGTGGCCGACTCTGGGGTTGCGGTGCTCATCTCGCTTTACTGGCCAAGGGAGCCAGCGTACAGCTTCCGGGTCATGTGGCCAGCATGACTAAGCCGCTTCTGGCGAACCAGAGCAGCGCACGGAAACGCCGTTTACCTTCCCGCCAGAGTGGTACCTATTTATTTACTTGCACTTTGACGTGCTTTCGAACTGCTAGGTTGGCAGGAGCAGGGACCGAGCAACGGAAGCTCACCCCGTCACGGGGATTCGAACCGCCAACCTTCCAATTGGCAAGCGCTAGGCTCTGTGGTTTAACCCACAGCGCCACCCACTTCCCTAATAGCTTGCAAGTTAGGTGTCACTAATTCAAAGTTTGTACTGAATCTGAGTGCACAGTATTCTGTCAGTAACCTGCTAACTATGTGTGCCTTTCCTCAGAGCAGATGACTTGGACTTCACTGATTGGCATGCCCATGGAGGCTTTCCTTCTCCCAGGGCCCTTGCAAATAACAGGCCACAGCAGCCCATTGTCTACCAACCTGGGCCAACTTTGCCACAGCCCACATCCCCATCTGCTACAGGGCTTCAAGAGACAATGCGACGTCGTTTTAAAAATCAAAATAGTTTATTGCTCTTCTTTTGTAAAAATGCACTTAACTTACACTGTGTCCTTTGCTTAAATCAGCAGTTTGTACCATTGGGTATAAAAAATGTCACGTTTTAAACCCTTTCTTTGTTCAAGTGTGAAACACCTTTTAAAAACTCTGATCCATTCCTGACATTCTCCTAAGCACTGACGGGTCCACGGGCCCATGCTTAGCTTTTTATATAAATACTGTAAAATTTCTCTAGGCTTTGCAGCATTATAAACAAAAGATCTATCAAAGTAGACAATATGTTCAGTATTCTTTTTTTTTCCTTCCTTTTTTTTGCTTTAAAAAATATACCTAAAACTTTTGAGATAATCTTAAAAGAGTAACAATTACAAGAAGAAGAAGAGAGAAAATTACAGTGCGTTGACTAAAGGAATATTCCAACGTCCTTCGAGCCAATATTCCCTTTTTTTGCATGTTGAAAGTGATTTAGCGTTACTTAGGAACGTTTTTTTCTTCACCTACATACAATAATTTAGTTGAGAATTAAACAAGGCAGATATTACTATTCTTCCACCTGCACTTCACAGCTCCCGTGAATAATAATAATAAAAAAGATCGCAATAAATATTAAAATAGGTTCTTTCTTTCTTTCTTTCCTCCTTAAGGCATCTTGAATATTACAAAGTTTTTAAGATGAGCCAAAAAGAAAAAGGTTGCTTTTTTTTTTCATTACTGTATTCTCCGGGTACCTTCTGTGGCAAGAGCAAATGGCCAGCCTGCAGAGTTCAATAGAGTTAAGTAGTGCATAAAAGCAGGACTAGGGAGTGAGAAAATGATGGTCGGTGGAAGCAGACTGATTTAAGTGTGCGCAGACCTGTGGTTTTCCTCTTTAAGTCGCTTACAGTCCACCTCTGCAACAATTATTTGTCTTCATTAAAAGAGAGAGAGCTTACGAAAGTTTGTTTGTTATGAATGTCTTTTCTTTTTTCCTTTTCCTTTGCAAAGCCTGCCTGTAACACTATAAATAGCTTAGGTATTGATATGCATTCTTCCTAAAAAGTCTTTTAAGAAACTCCCGATTTATTTATTTTTGAACTGCTTTCCTCTTTCGTCTCACGGATTCCGACCCCAATCCCCACCCACTAAAGAAAAAAAAGTATATTTCCACTCCATCGTGGGAAGAAAGAAATAGTCCTTCTCCAAAAGGATGGAGGTGATGCTGCCGTCATCATCTACTGCATACGGTCGGGTTGCAGCTGTGTGGCTGGATACTGCATGAAGGCGGTGGAAGCGGCTACTGCAGGATTGGAGGCGGTGAGAGGTGGTTGGACAGCCCCCGTGTAGCCATATCCCATGTAGCCAGCAGCGGGAGAGGCAGCGTACGGATACTGGTCGTAGGCAGCAGTAGCGGTGAATTGCGAGTAGGCCTGGGTCGCCGTTGTGTAGTCTATGTAGGGAGATGTCATCGACTGTACGGGAGTCGGGATGACCATGCTGGGCTGGACGATGGCTTGAGGGTAAATGAAGTGGTGGGCGAGCCTGTGAGGTTAAAGACAGACAGAAGACACAGTCAAGATTCTTCACACAGGAGAGCAGCGAATAGTTGGGAGCAGGAGAGCCAAACCATCACTGGGCTATGAAAACCAGAAAGCAGGTAGGAGAAGGACCAGTGAAATAAAAAGCAAAGCAAAAAAATTGGGAAGGTTTAAACCAGCAGACAGACAACAGAGGCCCATGGGTTGGTTTAGGCTTCCAACCAGCTTCTTCCAAGACAACGCCATACCATTCCGTCTCGTCTCCAAAACAGCCAGTCAACATTCAGTGCCCACTGAGCATGCTCAATTCTCATCAGGCTGTTTCGAGAGTAGAGTTTTGTTTTTCTAAGTGCATTTTGTGTGTTTGTGTTGCCTGCTGATCACCTCCTATCTTGATCTGTTTTGACCACATCAGGATCCACACTCAGAAAGTTAATGATTAGTCTGTACACACAATAGCATGCAATAATTCATCTAGTCCAGCACTGCAATGCAACCACCAGCCAGCTAGATGGCTCCTGGATGTTCACAAAATAGTGATGAATACCGACAGCCACCTCCAACGGCACCTAGCACTTTTGACAGAGGTCACCTCAGCTGCAGAGGTTTATTCACTCTGTTGTGGGGAATGGGCTTAGGCTACCTTCGCACTTAACTCTCTCAGAACCGTTTACAGCCAGGAAAGAAGTACTCCTGCTCACTTGGTGCATTCTTACCTACTGAGGTGACAAACAAAAAGGCTGAAGTTTACTCCAGCAGCTAAGTACTTCCTCTTCCACGGAAGCAGACAAGAATAGCCTACTCACTACTAATATATCAGCCATACTGACTGCATTCTGCAGTTTGAGAGGACAGACGTGAACACTCCCCTCCCTCTAAATCTGGGCTTCCAATTCAACCTTGAGTACCCAGGTACTGTTGGCCTCCAACTCCCATCATCCACAGCCAGCTTAGCCAAAAGTCAGGGTTGAGGGGAGCTGTAACCCAACATCATCTGTGGAAGGAAGGAAAGCACTTATGTGGACTATGGAACATTTAACACCATCTACCTTGGCTAAATTGAGAACCCAACACATTTCCTCCCCCCACTTCCTTAAGGTTCCTACTGCATTCCTAATTTCCATACCACATTTAGTTGCTCCAGAGTCCTGTGTTTGTCACTCCTAATATGCACCATCTATTTTCTTTTCTTTTCAGGTGTCCACAGTGTACAGTTTATGGATAGGCAAGCTAAGATCTTATCAGCTTCTGTGGTCTGCACTTGCCATCTGCACACGTCACAACATCTAAGTCAGGAAAATCGTCCTCTGCAACGGCTGGTAAGCTGCCGAGCAAAACCAGCTGCCGAGCTGCAATAGACTGCCTTTTGGTCAATCTGCAAAACCAGGAGGGCTAACACAAGTCACTTCTCTGCCACCTACTTCTCATAGACCATCTTTGGGCATTCAGTCCCCCTCCCCATGTTATTAGAATCACCTGAGGGCGAGCAGGGATGTCCTGGCCCTGCCTTCCTTCTGCCATGTGAAGGGATGAGTCGGACATGGAGATGGAGCCAGCCAGCAGGCGAGAAACCAGCCAAACACTCCTGCTTGCACGATTCTAATGATATTGGGAAATACCTAGATATTCTAGAAGCTGCCACTATGCTTGTCTATTGTCTCCTGGTTATCTAGAAGTCCAAGAGCAGCATGCAAAGCAGTTGCCAAGTGCTTATTTGCACTGTTTATTATTTATAAACCGTTACCATCTAATTACTTATTTCTTGTATCCCAACTTTCTTCCAAGAAGCTCAGGGTGGCAGGGACGGGTCTTCCCCTCTCTACAGTAACCTCTCAACAACCCCATGAGGTAGGTTAAGCTAAAACTTGAAGACTGGCCCAAGGACACCCAGTGAGATTCATGGCAGAGAAGGGATATGAATTCTGGGAATACCCAGCATTCAAAATTCGCAAGGGTCCAGGTGCATTTTGAACCTGCATATCGGCCACTTGTGACCGATGCCGGAATGCCTGGGTGCCGGAATGGTGCCTAATGTCTCCACCAGGTGCATATACCTGAGGGATCTTTGGATCTTGACTGTTTTCACACATTAGCAACACATCCTGTAGAATTCTATCCCTTATATTTTATCTGCACCATCAGAATGAGTATCTGGAACTAAAATGCTTTTTCTGTGCAGCCTGAGCATGAGCAGTCACCATTAAGTTCTCAAAGTTCTTAACCTAGCTCAGGCATCCCCAAACTCGGCCCTCCAGATGTTTTGGGACTAAAACTCTCACCGTCCCTAGCTAACAGGACCAGTGGTCAGGGATGATGGGAACTGTAGTCCTAAAACACCTGGAGGGCCAAGTTTGGGCGTGCCTGACCTAGCGCAAAGGAGTCATCTGAACTAGCCAGATATTTAACTGAGAATAAATCACAGTCAGTCCATCATTTGAAAAATAAGACTTTAGAGCCTTCTTGCCCCAAAATGGCAGCTAGACATTCTGTTTTGGCAACTGCAACCTTGATTTTGAGAACCTTTTGGCACCTAGGTTCTGACACTTGAAGTATCAATGTAAGATTTACCAGTGGTATTCCAAGTGTGAGCCACAGTCACCCATGTCTGTGGGAAGGTACTCACTGTCTATGCTCATGGTTCCCAACGTAGGGCACACGCCCCACAGGGGGACAATTTGTTATTTAAGGGGGGCAATTCGAGAATGAGTTATTAACAGTGAATGGCCTTTTAGGCTTCCTCCATGTGAATAGGAGTTCACTTTTTGAATAAGAAGAATTATATGTCACGGGGGGCGGGCATCAGGATTTTAGAGATGCTTAGGTGGGGCCAAAAAATGTTGGGAACCAACTGGTCTATGCCAAGTGCCATTTTTCTTCCTTAATAATTCTACTGCATATCAGCTCTTTTAAAACCAAGCACAGTGCGGATGGGTGTCATAAAAATGTCTGGAGTTGTGGTTAAAAGACCAAGTGCAAGAACAAGAAGCTTCTTTTATTTACAGTCCACTTTTTTGCCACATACGTTTTGTGATACATTTCATTATACTGTATATCATAAAAAGCTTAGCAACAAGGCATTTTTGTTCTGGCAGGCTTTCCCAGTTGGATAAATGGGCCTTTGCCATAAGTGCCTGCTCTATATGGTGTCATTCAGGGCATTCAATTTCAGGTTGGCACCACTGCCAGTATAAGAGAATGAGGGAGGTGTTCATGGCAAGTTCTGGCACCTCTTTTTCTAGAAAAATCGCACTGATTTCATTTATGTTCCGTGTGTGTGTGTGTGTGTGTTTAACAGCTTTTAATTGATTGTACTGTACTCTTGGGTTTGTACTGCAAGAAGATCAAATGCATCCATTCTTAAGGAAATTAGCCCTGAGTGCTCACTGGAAGGAAAGATTGTGAAGCTTAGGCTCCAATACTTTGGCCACCTCATGAGAAGAGAAGATTCCCTGGAAAAGACCCTGATGTTGGGAAAGATGGAGGGCACAAGGAGAAGGGGACGACAGAGGACGAGATGGTTGGACAGTGTTCTCGAAGCTACTAACATGAGTCTGACCAAACTGCGGGAGACAGTGGAAGACAGGAGTGCCTGGCATGCTATGGTCCATGGGGTCACGAAGAGTCGGACACGACTAAACAACAACATTGCACATCACCTTCAGACGTAGTCAATAATCAATCAATCAATCAATCAATCAATCATCCTTTCAGCACTCCCACTCAGACTGTAGAGCATGTCTAGCTTTTGCTTAGTCAAGGCTTTTCACAAGAAGCCAGTGATCTGCTGAAGTTGGGCTTAATGATATACAATATCTTTATTTAATAAAATTCGTTTAAAGAACTCAACGCTGTAGCTTCTGGTCAAGATTTCCACAAAACAAGGGCTATTGTCAAAACAGAGTCTTCTGTCCACCTCAGCCATGCCTGTGAGGCAATTTCATTAAGGCTCTCCTCATCACTGCATCTCCAAGGTACTGGCCGGTTGCTTCTAGCTATAATTAGAGTAAAGGCCTTTTCAGGTTTTGTTTAACATTCCAGCCTGTTGTCACTGACTCCATGTTTAAACCTGTATTGCCACAATAGCGAAGGCTCCTCTCTTTTTCTGGCAGCGATTATGAGGCGTTTGTTGTAAAAACACAAGGCGCTTGCACTCTTTACTCTTTCCCCCTTCCTATCCCACACCTTATTCAGATTTCCTTGAAGTTGCCATGCAAACAAACTCCCCCATTTCCTTAACAGGCTGAGACTTGTGCTGGTTTCGGCAGAAAATAAACTTATCTGGGACCCTGGATGAAAGAAAGAAAGAAAATATCTGCTGACACGAGTTAACTGCTTTGTGCTCCCATTTGTACTCCTCCTTCAAGGAAGGAAATTTCCCCCAAAAAACATTCTTTAGAGAAAGAAGAGAAGATTGCCACTAAAAACATTTTGCTGGAGTTGGAAACGTGCTCTGTTTGATGCAAGTAGTCCTGGGGAGCAGCTCCCCCTTCTCAAATCAAGTAAATCAATAAAAAATACTTAAATCCAACATAAACCCATGGCTACGCCCATGGCTTATGGTCTTATTTTTGATGGCCTAAGCCTTCCACAATGACTTAGTCAGGGTTGAACATTTGGTTCAATTCATTGGTTAGTCTAATCTACTAAAAGAGTTTCCAGCCCATTAAAAAAAGGTGTCCCTGATTAAACTGGGCAGCAGAAGTTATGTATTAATGTAATTTCTATGCTGCTCTGCTACCGAAGTTCCCTGGACGGCATGCTAAACATCATCAATACACAATCCGAACTATAAGGAGGTATTATGTACACTACAAAATGCACAACATACATTAATCAATAAAATTAAAACGTTTAGAAAATGAAAGCTTCAGCTTATGTTAAAAGTCTTTGCCCAACCCTATCTAAATTAGCAGCACGTGAGCTTCTCTGGAAAGCAGTGTTCGAAATTAGCTGGGAACCAGGCGCTTTTTGCAACTGGCTATCGGCCACTTGCGACCAAGTGAA